GGTCTGGTCTGGTCTGGTCTGGTCTGGTCTGGTCTGGTCTGGTCTGGTCTGGCGGTTCTGAAGGTTCTGATGGTTCTGATGGTCTGGACTGGAGGTTCTGCAGCAGAGTGAACCAGAACAGAACCTGCATCTTTGACCCTCATCAGAGCTGAGCCAAACACTGAGTTTTCCTACAGTCTGTCTGACACCTGAACACATCACAGGCAGAAAAATAAACTTTTTATTTTTTGCTGTTTTTCTTCTTTAAAAATGATTTTTTTATATCTGGATCAAGTCTGACCTGTTTGGTTCTTCACRTTCACACACTGACCACTGACAGCTGGGCGGGGTCGGGTCTGTGCAAAAGTTTTAATCAACCTCTCACCTGTTCTGTTAATGAGCTAACAGCTGGTCAGACCTGGACCTGGACCTGGACCTGGACCTGYACCTGGACCTGGACTCTCCACTGAGGTTGTGTGTTCGAGTTCCACCCGAGTCTTGGCCCGACAAAGCCTTTTCTCTGTGAGCAGTTCTGGTTCAGACCCGGTTCTTGGAAGCTGAAGGTGAAATGGTTGTGAGTAAATGATTGGACCGGGCCGGGCCGGGCCGGCGCTGTGTTCTGTTTCAACAGGACTGTTTGTACCCGCATCACAGCCTCAGCAGAAACCTGATCTGCTGATCCGCCTCTGTTAGCAGCATCTGAAAACAAACCCCCACCTGAACACCCAGAACTTTCTCTGATGTTCAGACGAACAGAACCAGAACCAGAACCTGCTGCTTGGTTTCAGGAAGGTTTTTCTTTTAATTCAAACACTGAGTGATAAAAACAAGAGTTCTGTTAGTTTCCACCTGAAGCAGCAGGTTCTGGAGGTTCTGYAGGTTCTGGAGGTTCTGYAGGTTCTGYWGGTTCTGGAGGTTCTGGAGGTTCTGAAGGCTGTGAGCAGAGCTCAGTGCAGCTGTAGTTGCAGGTGAGCCAAAGGACCAAGGTCAGAGTTTAATAAATGACTGATTGTGTTGATTGACAGACGAGCTGCTGAGTCACTGAAGACTTTAAACTTTACAACAGGAAGCTTTGTTTTCTCTCTCGGACACTTTCTGTCAGACGTCTTCACATAAAGACCTTCAGGAGGTCGAAATCCAGCCGTGTTCAGTAAACAAGGGTGTGGAGGACCTGATCCTTCAGGACTGACCTGCAGGGTAAACAAGTCATAAACAAGAGGAAGTCTGCACATTTTTATCATCTCACACACTTCCCTGTCAGCTTCCACACTCCTGCAGAGGTCCGACTGGGCCTCAGAACCCAGTCCGTCCACCTCAGACCGTCTAAAACTGACGAGCCGGGCAGAACCAGAACCAGAACCACCGACCCAAAGGTGCAGTTAGTTCTCATTCAGAACCCAGATCACCCAGAGTACCATCAGGTCAAAGGTCAGCTGCTGACACCTACAGGGGTTGGACAAACTGAATCAGCTGTCATGTTASTGTGGGAGGTTTCATGGTTAAACTGGACCAGTCTGGTGGTCAGTCTTCATTAACTGCACATTGCACCAGTAAGAGCAGAGTGTGAAGGMTCAGTTAGCAGGGTAAGAGCACAGTTTGGATCTAAATATTACAATGCACACAACATTATGGTGACATACCAGAGTTCAAAAGAGGACAAATTGTTGGTGCACGTCTTGTTGGAGCATCTGTGACCAAGACATCAAGTCTTTGTGATGTATCAAGAGCCACAGTATCCAGGGTAATGTCAGCATACCACCAAGAAGGACCAACCACATCCAACAGGATTAACTGTGGACGCAACAGGAAGCTGTCTGAAAGGATGTTCAGGTGCTAACCTGATTGTATCCAAAAACACAAAACCACAGCAGAATTAAATGTCACCTCAACTCTCCTGTTTCCACCAGAACTGTCCYTCAGGAGCTCCACAGGGTCAGTTTACACAGCCAGGCTGCTATAYCCAAACCTCTGGTCACTGTGCCAAACATTGGTTTCAATGGTGCGAGGAGCACAAATCTGTGCAACATGTTCTCTGATGAGTCCACCTTTACTGTTTTCCCCACATCCAGGAGAGTTACAGTGTGGAGAAGCCCCAAAGAAGTGTACCACCCAGAATGGTTCATGCCCAGAGTGAAGCATGGGGGTGGATCAGTGATGGTTTGGGCTGCTGTATCATCATTCTCTTGGCCCAATACTTGTGCTAGATGGGCGTGTCACTGCCAAGGACTACCAAACCATTCTGGAGGACCATGTGCATCCAGTGGTTCAAACATTGTTTCCTGAAGGTGGTGCCYTGTATCAGGATGACAACAATACACASATCAAGACTGGTGAKAGATTGGTTTGATGAACATGAAAGTGAAGTTGAACATCTCCCATGGCCTGCACAGTCACCACATCTYAAGATTATTGAGACACTTTGGGTGTTTTGGAGGAGCGAGTCAGGAAACGTTTTCCTCCACCAGCATCACGTAGTGACCTGGCTAGCTGCTAGCACAAACAGGAGCAACAACAGCTAACCACAAACAGAGACTGAGACACAAACATCAGTAACAAAAACCAACAAATCCATACAAATATCCTGGTCCTGAAACTGGATCAATGGTTCTGTTGAACCGTCAGATTACAGAAGAATCGTTTCAGTGTTGAGATGTTCTCCTGACCTGACAGAGGCTCTCTGGGTTTGACCTCCTCCACCACCTCCTCCTGCACCGACTGCTCCTCGGGGCCCTGAGACGAGCGGTCGGCCGCGGCCTCCTTCTTCAGCTTCCCCCGACCCACCATCTTCATGAAGGACAGGCGGCGGCTGACCGAGTCGCTCTCGCTCTCCGAACAGTTCAGCTCTCCGTTGGTCAGAGGCTCCCTGCGCAGGCTGAGAGTGTCTCTGTATTTACCTGCAAACCTGAGAGCAGCCCAGAGTCAGACCTTCCTCCAACAAGACCTTCAGCTGATTTATCAGGAACACAAACAGCCGAAGTTCAGAGGATAAAAGTCTGAAAGACCTGCAGGAAGTCTGGAGACCTCAGCTCACCTGAGCAGGCTGCCCTCGGAGCTCCTCCTCCCTCTCTTCTTCTTTGAAGATGGCGACGGCGTGCCCTGCAGGGACTCCTGGGGGGAGGGCGTGTCCCCCCCCTTGCTCCTRCCAGACAGTCTCAGGTTCTTGCCCAGCTTCCCCAGACCCTTCAGGGGGGACTTGAACTTGAAGGAGCCCTTGGCGGACCCTCCTCCGCCTCCCTTTTTACCCTCGTTGGCCTCGTTCTCGTCCTCTTCGTCCTCAAAGGGGTTGCGGTCTCTGGAGACGTCTCCGTCCAGCAGCGAGCTTCCAGGTGACCAGTGGTTGCCATGGATACCATCCTCGTCATCCTCGAAGGGGTTGTGGTGGGGGGTGATGTTGAGGCTCATCCTGCGGATGAACAGGGCGTTGTCCAGAGTCGGACCACCTTTCAGGCGAACTGGGAGGTTCTTGATGATCGGCATGATGGAGCGGAGGGAGGG